TTTGGGACCCTGCCCTGGGATGTGTTTATAAAAAAAGGCCAAGAAGGGAAGAGAAATGAGCTGAAGCCTTTTATTAAACATGTAGCACAGGGCCTCTGATGCTTTGGAAAGATGGCTGTGGCTTCTGCTGCTTCCCAGGGCTGAGCTATGCATGCCCGGCTTGGGCTTTCCCTACAGAGGGCTGCATGTGGGGATGTGCCTGAGGGCAGGGAATTAATTGTGCCCCTCTGTGCCTTCTGCCTGTCCCCAAACCACCATCGTGAGCAGGAGTGGTTGAACCACTCTTCTGGCTGTGGGCTCCCTCCTGCGGTGGAGGCTGAACAAACGCAGTTTGCTGCTGGCTTGGGGGTTTGCTTGTCCTTTTCCTGCTCTAATGCCTGGAGCCTCTTTGGTCCCAGCAGTCATTCTGTACAGTTCCACTGTGGGATTCTGGTACCAACTGCACAACTGGTGCCTAAACTTTATATCTGCTCAAACACAGGTTTTGCCATCCCTTCATCACTCTGACAGTTACTGAAGCCCCATTTTGCCACTGAAGGTGGTGGAAGGGGTGGCAGGGTAGTCCAGTGGGGCCATGGCCTCTTCCTGGCTCACCTTCGAGCTCTGTCTCCTGCTGGGGGCTCCTGAGCAGGAGGAGGGTCCTCCAGGGCCACAAAGGGGGTGAGGGGGAGTCCAGGGGGCACATGGGCTGTGGGCCTGCCAAGCCCTAGTGTGGGCCCAGGGGGCTCCTGGGAAGGGAAAAATGTGATGTTAAGGGGAAGAGGTGGCAGGGTAGGAGGTGCCTGGCCATCCTCTCACACGTGGCATTGGGTGTGCAGAGCAAATCATACCCCTGGTCCCACACTGGTGGGGACTCACCTCCTGCCCCAGTCACTCTATCCCCAAATGCAGCAAAGAGCTGATCTCAAATGTCCCCAAGCTTGTACCTCCACACCTATTATCCTCTCCCAGCTGGAAGCCCAATCCCAACTCCTCTCTCCCCTCCTCAGGGAGCTGGAAATCGCCCTGGGCTGAGACTCTTACCATGAAAAGTTCTGGCACAGCTAGGGCTGGTGGCAGTGGGTGGGCTGTTGGGTGTGGGAAGACAGGAGAGTGCAGCCATGGCCTCGTCTGCTCTGCGTGGCATCGCAGCATTCCCACCTCTGCCTGGAGCTGGGCCAGTTCCTCTGTGCGCCGCCGGGCTGCCCGTGAGCCTGGGCAACAGGATTTGGTCACCGTGGAGTTTACAGCAGCCATTTTCCTGGCATCTCACCAGGTCTGCATTAAGTCTGGAGACTGGGACTCTCCTTGCTCACTGCAGCCCCCTCCACTTGCCAATATTTCCAGGAGCCATGTCCAGCCCAGGGCTCTGATGGTGTAGCCACAGAGGCAGCCGGGGGCTGTGGGGTGCAGATGGGGGACTCATCACCTACCAGCGTCTGCTCTCCTCTCCCTTTTGACCTTCAGTGCCAGCAGTTCATCTTCCAGACGCCGGTTCTCCAGCTCCACAGCCAGCAGTGCTGCACCCAGACCGTGTGTGCCAGTGCTGGGGGGCTCTGCTGGCACAGCCGGGGGTGCCTCAGGTGCCGGCTGTGGGGCCACAGTCCCTGTGGGGGGACGGGCCTGGTGCTGGCGCTTACCCATCCGCCTGCCCCTGCTCAGCCCCGCGGTTCCTTTCTCCAGCACCGTGGCCTCCAGCTGGAGGTGGAGAAGCTGGTCCAGGATGGCTGGGTCCTGTCCCCCGGAGCACAGGTAGGACAGTCGCAGCGCCCTGCCAGGGCCCCGGATCAGCCATGGCCAGGGCTTGGCCGGGCGCTCGCTCGGAGCTGCCATCGCCCACAGACCCTCACCCCTCACCTGGCCTCGGCCGCCAGTGGCCCCGCGGCCGGCAGGAGGGTGTCGAGGTGGAGGGTGGCCCTGGGGAGGAGACGGGCAAATGAGGGGTGAGGGCCCCTTGATGGAGAGCACCCACAGGGTCAGGGCTCTGTGCTGCGACCCCTCAGGCCAGGGCTCACCTGTGCTGTGCTGTTCGCACCTGTCTGGCCTGGTCGGGCGGGCCTTGGCTCGGCTCCGGCTCCCCCTGCTCGGGCTGGGGGCCCAGAGGTGCCCTGGCCCCCAGTGTCGCCAGCCTCCGGCACAGCCCTGACGGACAGTGAGGGGCTGGGTGCTCAGCACGGCCCCCACAGCCCCACCCTCGGGGGGTCACTGCATCCCACACGGGCCTGCCCATTGCCCCACAACCGCTGCCAGCGCCTACCCTCTCTCTGCAGCTCCAGCTGCTGGGTCCTGGCCCGGATCGCGGCCACCCGGTGTTCGTGGGCTTCCAGCAGCTCCTGCGGCTGCTGCCGGTGTCCCTGCAGTGGGAGCGGCTGCCGGGGGGGCTCTTCCTGCGGTACACAGGGTTCAGAGGGAAGGAGGGGCTGGCCCCCCAGTCCTGGGGAGCCGTAGGGCTGCTGATGCCCACCCTGGCATTGGGGATTCACCGTACCTCCACTGGCAGCCTCACAGAAGCGGGGTCGGCCGTGCGGAGCAGGGCCCTCTCCCGGGGGGTGAGCACGTCCCCCAGGGGAGCTCCCCGCACCCGCCCTGGTCCCCCACGAAGCATAAAGTGATGGAGTGACTCAGCGTCCTCTGTATTTTGGGACACCCCCACCTCGCAGACATAGAGGGAAGAAAAGGGTGACATCCTCACCCTCCCCCAATTCCCCCCCACACTTAATAATATACTTTTCTGGTTTTGGCAAAATAAGCACCAAGGGCTGCCTGTGTGGGGCAGGCATGGCAGGATGGAGGCCTATCCCAGGTCAGACCAAGCCGGATCCAGGATGTGATATCCTGTTTCCCAGCCCAGCACCTGTCCCAGTCCCCATTCTATGCCAGACCCAGCTCCACACTACCGAAATGTCCTGTGGTTTCTTTGCCGTGCCCTGTGCTCCCTCCGCAGACAGAGGGTCTCCCCCATGGAGGCAGGACCTGCTGGGTGTCGGGGAACCAAGGCACAGCTTCTCCAGGTGCACCCGCAGCAGCGGTCGGGATCTGAACGCCAAGCGGCAGTGGGGGCAGAGGAAGGTCCCCATGTCCAAAACCCTGGAAAGCAGAGCAGGTGGGGTTACTCAGGGGACAGGGAGAGGGGGTCCCCCCGCGGGGCTGGCACCCTGGGAGGGGCTGGAAGTGTGCACAGACCTGCTGGCGGTGGTGGCAGAGGTGGCTGCAGTGTTTGAAGCCACTGTTGCTATGCTGGAAGCTGTGCTGGGCAGGGAGAGCCACACCTCCAGCCAGCCCAGGACATTCCCACTGTTTACCGCGGGTACTGGAATGGAGAAAAAAGGTCACCAATCCACCTGAGCAATCCAAAGAAAACAAGATGAGGGAGGCCCTGCTGCCCTGTGTCCCTCTGTGGTTATAAAGTGCTCGCTGACAGGCGTGCTGGCCCTGGGGCTGTCCAGGGGTGCCCCATGCACATCTTGCAGCAGCTCCCACTTAGCTGCTCCTCAGCAGATTTTAAGCTAAGCGTAACCTCCAACAGAGGTGAAACAGCTCCTTCTGCCCTTTCTTGCCAGGTATCAAGGCCCTGCCCTTGTTCCCAAAAAAGCTTCCTGCATTCCATCCTTGCACCCACCTCAGCTCCGCTTGCCGAGTCCCTACAAGCTTTTTCCCTCACCTCACTGCCAGTGGTACCCATCAGGAATAATGATTTGCTCAGGAAAAAGCTGCCATTCGATGGATGGGGACTTGCCCCACCTGTCTCAGCCCCAGAGGCTGCCAGTGTCGCTTCCAAAGTTTCATCAATGTTTAAACCCAGCACAACCCACACAAGAGGGTCAGGGCACAACATCTGGTAAGAAGCACAAGGAGCTCCCATCACACACAGGACAGGATGTGCTGTCCCAAGGCAGGCTGGTCCCACTCCAGAGTGCTCAGCAATCCAATTCCCCCATTCCAAGTGGCTGTGAGCATGGATCTGAGGTGAAGGGGTTTTTAAATTTACTCCATTTCTTGAGATGAGTGCACACAGGTCTGTATAACTTGGTTTAAATGGATGTAGAAAGTTAAACTTTAAAAAACGGATAGGCTTTTCCAGACAACAGCAGTGTTTGAATATTCAGAAGGGACAAGATGGTTTGTGCGAAGTCGTACAGGAGCCCCAGCACTTCCCCAAGCAGCCTCAGCCCCTGGTTTCCAGAGCACAGGGATGAAGAAATGCCCCACTGCAGAAAGGACCCCCTGCCCTTCTCCTCCGGGGCTCACCACAGAGCCAGCAGGAGCTGGATGCACAGGTAGCAGAGTTACACCTGAAAATGCTGGGCATGCACCCCTGAATCCAGATGCAAAGATTCAGGGCTAAACATTATCATTTTCTTACACTTCTGTCCTCTGCCTGGCCAGGAGTGGATTAAGAACACACAGGCACAACCTTGGGACAAACCCCCTCAGGTCAGCAACACCAGGTTTTGTGTGACTCAGTCCAACCCCCAAACAAACAGTGCACAACCCCAGAACACTTTCCAATCCAAAACCTTTGTGCACAAGCTGAACTTACACCAGACACTAAAATAGCTTAGGCCACAACTGAGTTGTTTGTAAAATTCTTTTTAATCTAATAGAAATGTTTTCATGAATTTTTAAAAAAGATTTCAATGAAAACAGCTTTGGATTCAGACATTCCCTTGCCACGTTGTGAACATAAACAGCAGCATTGCACTAGGAACAAGTGACACCGACTGGTCGAGCTTCACCATTTTGTATGAAGCGGAAAAAAAAGCAAACTGCTTTAGTAGAAGATAATTTTGAATTATTTTCTTTAAAAAAAATCCCCAAACATGGACTGTCATCTCAGCATTGTTCTTCCTCTCCCTTCTTAAAGGAAGAGTTCAGCTCCTGCAGTCTGAGCACTACAGCAATGTTTGCCAAGTGGAAAAATAGAGCGGGAGAAGAAACTGTTTATCCCCAGTGCTACTGAACCCCCAAAGTTGCAGGTCCCTTAGAGGAAAGCTCTCCTTACATAAGAAAGACAATTAGAATTGGCAAACTGATGCAAAATATTTATTCCAAGTTAGTTATTTTTGATGCAGTAGTTTTTCCCCCTCATACAGACTCAATGTGATAGTCACTTTTTAAAATCTGTAAATAATGTTATCAAAATAATCTTAATCTTTGAAATCTCACAAAAAATTTATATTTTACAATCCACCCTGAATATCAAGGCTGCAAGAAGAAGAACACAAACAATTCCTATATCCAAATATTTTACAGCTGTACCCAAAAAAAAAAAAAAAGAAAACCACAAACGCCTGGTTAAGTGATGAAGCTCCCCGAGCCGCCAAAAAAAATAAAATAAAATAAAATATTCATGTTATTAGCATTAATTTAACATAATTAGAACTTCAAAAGCCATTTTGTCATCGACAATGATTGTTTTAGCACACCGTTACCGCGCGCTGGGCAATGCGGCGGCACTGTTAGAAGCTTGTTGTTGCAGAGATCAGTCAGCCACTTGTGTCCTGCTCACACGACTGAACTTGTGCACTGCCCCACAAGGGATTTTTGTCAAAATTTGCTAGCTGCACAAACTTCTAGTAAGCATTAGGGCAAAACCAAAAGAAAAAGCTAAAGAAGCCAATTTCTCTCTTCTTTGGGATACAATTATTTCCCTTGTGCATGAAGTATCAACAACAAAAGAAAAAACTGAACAGACTGGAGACAGAATAAACTCTGTTTAGTTTATACAACCCCAAACACGTGTTGAACTATGAACTGAGTTTATTGGGTTGGTTTTATTTATTTTAATTTTATTGTGCCCAGTTTCAGGCATCGTCATCTGACGTTTCGCTGCTACTTGTTTCCGTGTCTGAGTCCTCAATCTTTGTCTTAAAAGTGCTTCCCCAGTGGAACAACAGGCTGGAGCCACGGCCCTGAAGAAATCCATTCTTCCCAAATCCATTTCTTCTTCGCTGTAGGAATGAAAGTAAGTTTTAAAACAAGCAAAAGAGTGGAGAGTAACTGTCACCAACCCTCTGTTGACATGACTGCCACATTATTTAACTGTATATACACACACAGATAATGCAGAATCATCCATTCTACTACAGCCTTGCTTAAATGCTTGGTCCTTTAGAACACCCTTGAGAAACGAGAGGGAGAAGAGCAGTTACAAGTAGGAAGAGTTGTAAACATACCTGCTCTGATTTAATCTGGAACTCTTTGAGCTCATCCTCCGTGAGGGGAAGGTAGTTTTCCTCATTTTCAGGATATTCCTGCCATCCCATTTCTTTCAATAACCTGTTTGTGGAGAAAATAAAAGGGGCATGGGAACTAAAGCAAGGGAACAATGGCAAAGGAAGGAACACTTTGTCCATAAAAAACAAGGTTTTGTAGTAAATCACTTCAAATTCACCAGGGAATCTTCTCTATCACAGATCACTTTAACAATCCTTTGTGTTTACCCACCATTTTTCAATGTCTTTGACAAATATTTAACCATCAGCAGCCCTGTACAGTGGGTACATAACCAGCCTGATGGAAGGCAGGGATTCGAAATTCTAACTCAAGGACACTGAAGGAGGACATGAGGCAACCAAACCAGTATCACAGTTCAGAATCTCCTAAACTTTACTATCTGCTTGCACCAGATGCTCACACTGCTTATTCACTGATGTGAGATACAGCCTGAGATACCAGGTAAATATTTTCTTAAGTCTCCTCCACTTTTACAGCATGTAAAGCAGCACAGGAGTATTCTAAGTGCAAACAAAGCGTGGTGTGTGTCTTCAAACCATTACATTTAGGACCCCTGCTTGCAAATTAACGAGAATCACCCTTGGTTCATGCTGACTCCCAGTGTGGGCAGATAAGTATCTCTAGGCAGTATTAACACATGGGGATGTGGCATTAAAGAAGCACTGGAATTTAATTACAGACCTTGGTAAAGCCTTGGCTCACCTGTCACTGGTGTCTTGTTTTACTTTCAGTAAGACCGCACCCAGTCCAGCACTAGTCACAAAACCCACATACCTCCTTCTCCATACACACACAGCTGCCGCTGCTTCTCAAAGAGAGTTTTCTTCAAAATAATTTCCTTCTCCTTACACAGCCCAAGGAATCACCCTCCTTTACTTCAGACACTTTATTCTGCCATTTACTCACCTGTGTTCTGCTTCCAATGAATGGGAGAGGTTTTCCCCCTCCTCCGGCAAAGGGAGAGAAAGGCCATTTTGATGGCAGTTCTCTTCCCAGTTTTCCTTTGGTTCTGGTGTGCTGTTGCTCTCCATCTAAAGAAAAATAAAACCATCAAAGTGTGCTTGCACGGACCGTGCCAACTACACAGTTCCAAGTTCAAGCTTCTGCCTCTGAAAGTCCAGCCAAGCCTTTCACCTTGAGCCAGTGTTTTTTACAGAAGCTGTAGCAGTGTGTACCTGGCTGTGACAGGACAAAGGACATTTGCTGGCCTGTGCTGCTGTGCCAAGGGAGTGAGTGCTGGCATTGCAAAGCCATCACCAGCAGTTCAGAGTGACAGCAAGAAAACTATGAGAATTAAATGCTCCTAAGGACACATTTTACATACACATTAAGGCACAGATCTATGCATTTGAGGGTCTGGTCTGAGCCTCTGAGGCTTGACCTACATTCCTGCACCTTTCACAAGCACAAAATTCTACTTTTCTGTGAATGCAGTCTGATAGGAAAGTTGGAAAGCAACTTAAGATGTTAAAATATGATACTGTTCCTCTCCTTAGAGAATCCTTGCAAAAAATCTAGATTATTTTTAACATCTGTGACCCTTCCACCTCATTTATTACTTATCCACTTGCATTTCATTGCTGTACACATCTCCCTCCATCACTGCTGTGCACTATTTCCACTGGCACATGTGCCAGACCAGTGGGAGTCATTCCCTTCCTCTTCCAGAGCCTGAATTACACATACACTGCTCAGGGCTTTTTCAACCTCAACTCCTTCAATAATAATGATCATAAAAACAGAAGGCCAGTGATCTTACATCATCCAGCTTGTCACATTCCCTGTTTTCTGTTATCTCCCCATTTCTATCATCCTTCAGTGCCTTCAGGAATTCGCTCTTTTTATCAGTGGTCCGGCGCATCAGCTTTGTCAGGCGCGAGGAGCAGATCTCGATGGGAGGGGTGGTGCTGGAAGGACTCTGCACAGGGAGGGAGAACACAGAAATCAAACTGCACTCCTGCAAACCTGAGACCTCTTCAGCGGCTGTGCTTGCACCTTTCAAACACTCATCAGTTCTTTGGTTGGCTCTTAATTCCTCAAAAACCCCAACCTAAAGTCAAATTCCCATCAAAATACTAATGCGTGTTGCACATTCACTTCTTCCATCTGTCATTACCAACTCAATTCCTTTTCTTCCCCTAGGAGTCAATTCACATGGCCATGAATATGTTTATTTTGTTCCTTTGTAATGTAACTCTCTCAAGCAAGCCGGTGCCTACAACAGAGTATTCAGGCAAAAAACTTAATGCAGGATTCCTGGCCTACAAAAATTAGCAAATTAAGCAGATCAGACTCAGTTCAAATTTGTATTTTAAGTCATCCTGACAGACTCTACCCTGAAATTATGCTATGGGCAGGTAGTCTCCTTTCAGGGAGTGGCCACATCCTTAACTAACCACAACCGGGTGCGGAACAGGCAGCCACAGCCTTGGAATCCTCTCCTGGAGAGAATGCTGCCAGCTGCTGGCTCTGTACACTCAGCCCAGATGGTTCAGTGTGGAGCCAGACATGGACAGCCCTGGAGCCTGTGGGAAATCTGCTCAGCTCAATGCATGAACACAAGGAAACCTCCTGTGCTCCTCCACAATGTTTAAGATTTCTTAATAATCTGGAGTCTGTGAACCAGGCCCACTGGCAGTACCTGGCCATGATCCTGCAATAGGAGCACTGCTAACCAAGGTGAGCTTTCAGTTTTATCTGTTCCATTTGTTTTAACTGGGCACACAAAAGGAATCTAAGAACATGTTATGGTAAAGTTCCCAGTATCTTACCTCCCGCTGGAGTTCATGTCTGGCTACTCTAAAACAATGAGGAATTTAATCATTATTATGGATAACTGACACCAGAATCTTGCAAGCAAAACTACTCTCTTTCTTCATGTACATGCTTTGATTTAAAAAAAAAAAAAAAAAAAATCAATATTAAACCAGTAAAATTTCCTGAAGTTTATAGTGTTTTTCTCCCCACACACTGTTTTAAGCTGCGGGGGAAGGTTGCAAATTCAGGCTCTTCAAAATGAATCTCCTGTGCCAAAAATTTTTATCACACTCAGTGTTCTGGGCAAAGATCAAGGGAACTAGACCAAAAACAAGGCAGCAACAGCTGCTTATATTTCTAATGGCTGTTGCATGTTGAACACTGGTGTGAAATAATGCCTGCAAGGAAATAAGTGCAGCCTGGAAGTAATTTCTGAGGCAGACCTTTCAGATTTTGCTTAATTCAATACGTAAGAAACAAATCAGCAGTTGTAACAGACCTAATGAGTGACTGCAAATATCAGGATAAAAAGCCGACACAAGAGTGAAATTAAGCTCTCAACATAACTATTGGTTTGACTGCAGTGACAAGAGGTAACAATGAACAAAGGAGACCTAAATTAGAGGTCTTCTGGTAATCTGAAATACTCAACTTGAACTCTTTACTAGTGGCTGTTTTGATCTCTAATAAACTACTGAGGGACTAAATTTTTTACACATCAGGGCAAGCCAGTTACAGCTAAAGTTTAGAAACAGCAGATTTCTGAAAGGGAATTAATTTCACCTCAATTCTGGTTTTATGCATAACTTTCTGCAGAAAAGTTATGTTTTACAAAACATTATTCTTTAGCACTAAAACAATAAACTGGCATCTCTTCTAAAGTAAGCTTAGCCCTTTGACTGAAACATCAAGGCATCTCAGTCTTTTGGTATGGCTACTCTTACAGAACTTACTTACTCTTACAGAAAAGTAATCCTGAATTCATTCTAAGAACTCAGGCTTTATGTTGTAGCTTGGTTGTCTTAGACTGGCTTGTGGAGACAGGGCCAGTACTAGCTGGCACCCTTTTAGTTTTCAACACACTACGCTCTCTTACGAATAAAGGTGCTATTTTTACCACTTCTGCAGGAAGCACATTAGCCCCAATTCAGAAACACAAAGCCAGAGACTATGTGTAGTAGTCCTGGAGAACCAGGACTGCAGTACTATCTACTGGCCATAGACCTGTGTTTTCATACTGTAAATCTCCAACAGATTCAAAGAAAAATGTATTACAAGTGTCCATTTTAGTTGGAAAGAATTTTTAAACCCCTTTATGTTTAGCTCTCCGGTTTGTACCCAACATCTTCATTGACTGGAGTTTCACAGAAGACCTTCTTGGGGTCAGGTGAAGGAAACACTTGCATTACTCCTGTATGATACAAAGTGAATGCCTCTTTCCAGTCTGCTGAGGTAAAAGCCTGTTTAAGTTTAGATATTTACACTGTCCATACTGTGCTGTGCATTACACAAAAAGAAGTCTGTCAGCAACACAAAGAACTTGGTGTAAAGAGAGAGAAAAGCAAGGTAAGGGAAAGGAACAGAGTGTAAGATCTATTTGTCAAAGTGACAGGTGCCTGCTTATTAACTATTGTCTTTAATGACTGCTTGTACACTCAGCTGTGGCTAAGGCAGAAAAGTGCAGGTTACTGCAAAGCAAAGTCTGCAAAACAGAGAATCCTCAAGATGCCAACGCCTTATTTTAGAAGTAATGTCTATAACGGAACAAGACAAATGCACAACTAGAAAAATTCCCCAATTCTACAGTCAAAACAAGCTAATTTCAGACGTTGTGAATCATCATTTACAGAATCATAAAATCATTAAGGTTGGAAAAGACTTCCAAGATCATCAAGTCGAACCTGCAAAGAGCAGCTGCACTGGCCAGGAATTTATCACAGTCTGTTCTATTTTTTTGTTCTTTTTTTTTCTTGTGCTTTGTCACAGTTATTGCTGAAATATTAAGAGAATTTTATTACAAGGTTCCCTCTATACTTCAGACCAAATCCAGGGGCAAGTCAGTTTCCATTTCAGCAGATTACCTCCTTCCAATGCCAAAATTAAAAACAGATACTGTAGCTGAAAAGTCCTATGTACACATGTTAAACTCCTTCAACCCCCTCAGAGTGCTTGTGCTGTTGTTCTAGAGAAAGGAAATTAGGCAGATCACCTTCCTTCCCCTTCCTTTCCTATACTGAAAAACATCATGGGAATCAATTTGCCTACCTATTCACATCAGTTCTTGGTATCTGCCCTCCCATAACACCAAGCTGACACACGTCTTGTTACACAACACCATTTAAAGCATTAGTATTATTTTTTACTGGAAGTAAATTCTAATACAGTTGAACAAACACCGATGGCTTTATAGCCACATAAACCTAATTTCTATTTCTTTTAGTGTCTCATTGATGTGGCACAATGTGCTAAGAATGTACAAATGAGTCATCCCTCAAGGGTGCAAAGGTAGGTACCACATGCAGAGAGGGCTTTATCATGTTTCTCTAGTAGGTGAGAGTGACAAAAGCTCCCACCCTATCCCTAAGCCCAACCCTTACCTCTTTGGGAGAGGTGAGGACTGAGCCACTTGCCAGTACCGCTGGTTTGGTTACAGACACTGGACTGGTAAAGGCAGAGTCACGGGTGGAGGACAGCGAGCCTGGTTTATGTTCACTTCTGTTGGCTTTCCATGGGCTTGGCTGTATTGAAGAGAACACAAAATACAAGGCAGTAAATGGCAAGGCGTGAGAAGGGGTTGTTTGCAAGTATTGAAATAAATAAGCAGCATTATATTGGCTGTTGTATAGATTTTCTTCTTTTCTTCCAAGAACAGTCTCAACGGGTTTATTTCAACACCCATCATTTTTCCCCTGGCATCTTCTGTTTTCCCCAAATCGCACACAACTCTGGTTCATGGGTACCACCCTTCAGTAAAACACCATTAATAGCTCACAGAGAAAATCCAGCATTGCCCTTCATTAATTGGAATCACCACTGTGTAATGCAATTCATCTTACAGATACCCACAGATGGGAAATTAAAAAAAAAAATCCCAATTAAAATGACATTTCTTAGGGGAACACTGCACACCACAAAGAAAGGCTTCCAATCACTTGACAGGAATTTTCCCTGTGTGAGGAAGAAGATCATCATGCAATAGTTTTGTTTAGAGTGAGAATGAAAATTATTTATTTCCTAGGGCTCTGAAAGTGTCCATCATTGCACCAATTTAGCAAGAAGAACAAGAAAAAGAAGCAAAAGCAGCCAGCTTATTATAGTGCGAGATCACTTGTTTTGGCCTGGATACTCTCTGCAGTATCCCTTTGAATACACTTGCCATTTATGAAGAGGAAAGACTTCAAGCTAAGTTTTTATTACTTGGAATGTTACTCTTGAAGCTCTCTTATCAGTCAGGGACAAACACTGTGAAGTGAGAGTCTTTACAAAAACAATCCTAAGAAGAAACTTGTACCAAGTAGCACAAGCAAGACACTGTCAGAACATGAAAACACACAGATTCCCTTGACTTTTGAAGCCACCTTCAAAACACTAATAACATAATTAATGCACAAATGGGATTCAGTTAAATCTGAGATGCAATAGATCTTGCAATCTGCCAGCAATGAGAACAGAGGCACTACTTTGGTTTGTTGTCACTGTCTACTGGGTTCTTTTATGATTTTTTAAAAAAATACATTGCATGGGGAGGCCATCAGCTTTCCTCTTCCACTCTTAAAAATGAGCATCCCACACTATCAAATAGATTCTATGGCATCCACAGCACACATTAAAAACATCCCCTTCAATGCTCAGAAATATCCCAATCTGCACAATATTTATTGTCTGTACTAAAATTAGGGTACAGTATGACTCCGACAAGAAGTTTCTCTCCAGGGTTGCACCGCTCCATTCCCAGCTCTCAGCTGCCCAAGGCTGCTCTCCAGGATTCCACAAAGAGGCAGCTCACAGCTCAGACAGATCCAAAGACAGACTCCTATTGCTTTCCCTGGGTGGCTGAGTGTGACCTTCATGGATTGCTTGACTGTGAGCTATTAGCTATCTCGATTAGCCAGAAAGAACACACTTGTTTCACTGCCACCAGCTCTCTTCCTTTCTGAACTACTTGGTACAACTTAACAAAACCATTCTTCATTCAGTTTTCCTGTGACAGCTTTCCAATACTGCTGACTTTGTGGAAAGGAATGTTTTGGCTCCTCTGTTGCTTTATGTACTGCAATTCCTGTATAACTTTCCAGAAGTCTTCAGGCTAATGCATCCTACCACAGCTGCTTTAAGACTGTGACTTTAAAAAGACATCAATGCACACAGCTTTTCTGGCTAAGGATATGCTGATACCCTACCTTTTGGTTTTGCTAATGGTCACCATTCATTAACAAATGCACTGTTGATGACATCAGAAGATAAGTCCCACTGCAGTCCCCACCACCTAGGAATATCACACTGCCCCAGTAATCACAGCACCATGTCAGTGTGTAAGCGCTCAGAAATTAGCGGCTAAATCACTAAGTACATATTTATAGCCTGCTTAATGTGACTGATCTCTTGGGCTACATATCAAAAATTAATTGCTTTTCCACTAGGCAAGAACATTTCCTTTGATATCAATACTGCAATATTTCAGGTATAAATCCAGGTGTAATCCAGGCCTACTGGATTCAGTGAAGTAAAAACTTTAATTAAAAGGAACTTAGGCAGGTACCACTACATTCTGCCATAATCTCTGATTTAAATACAGATAAACAATCTGGAATGCAAATGAACTATGTAACATGTAAAGCAAGCTAAAAAAACCCCCCTACCACTATTTTTGATGGATGCTGAACCTTCAGATCATTCACAGTTTCGTTCCAACTATGAGCACTGAATAATGTATTCTTTTTATCTGAAGAATCAAAACCTATACAGTCTAATTTCAGAACATGGTTAGGAAAAGCTTCAAGAGCAATTCTCCTTGACTGAATTAAAGAAAAACCTCTGTCCATGGGTTTCAGAAGCAGCTACAACCAATGCAACAGTAATTGCATAACTAGCTGTAAGGAGCAACTTGCTGCGCAATTACTGTTGCGCTTGTTGTAGCTGCTTCTAAAGCTGCTACATTAACCAAGCAGATTTTTATGCCCAAATTCTACATTGCCAAGTAACGGGTAAATGATGACCAGCATTAACAACACACATTCTCATAACTTTCAGAAGTTCATTTTCATCTCTCAGTCTCTACATTGGTACAGCATTAACTTTTAGACCTCAGAAAAGATCTTTCCATATGATAGCCAGTAACATAGATTTAGCTACATGCATTGTGGTTCACTAAAATTCTGTTTACTTTGAAGCCAGAGACAATCTACCAATCTGGTCAGAAACTGTACCTCTGGCCTTTTGTTTCAAAGAACATACAAAACATCCAGACTAAACCCAGGTCAGACTGTATCTACACATGTATCAATCAAGCTCTAAAAGCAAAAATTAAAGCCACAGGAGGCTTCCCACTCATTAGAAGCTGAAGTTTTGTTCACCTAATCTAAATAAGAACATATATGGATTGAAAACTGTGTGCAGAATGAAAAACTCCTTATAAATAGCGTTTCTAATGAGTAAATTTATCTCATCTTACCAAGAAGTAGATTAGCTGACAAATTAAGTGTATAGATGAGATTATTTGAGAATCACTTTAACCACTATAATCTTTTCTGTAGCTGGCAGAATTTAACCTAAAATAAAAATTTACAAAAGGCAAAAAAGTGCTAAACTTTCTTTCTTACAAAAAGAAGCTGTGAGTCTCTTATTTTGCTTTTATCTTTGAAATATGTAAGAATTATCTACTGTAGTTATAGGGAAGATTTTTTTGGAATGTTGCAGCCCGCATTAGTAATTAATAAATTTTAGAACTCAAAGTATTTGGACATCTCTTTAAAGAATAACCTAACTAATTTTTTTTTTTTGCTTTTAAAATACTTTCACTATAAATTCTTCAAAATTTCTAAGATATCTATACATGTTGGTTCTCTGGAAAAACGGGCATGATTAAGCCTAGAACTAAGGAAAAAAAACAATACTTGGGGTTTTTTTTAGCAGTACTGTATTTCCTTCAGTAAAAGAGCTGTAGCACAAACCCCATGGCTTTACCAGATTGTTTTTACAGCTCAACTAAATTACACCTGAATTACAGGATGTTACAATCTAATCTGATGTTAGCCTCAATTGTTCTGGACACATCAAAGTATTGTAACCCAATAAAGATTTTTCAAGGTAGTCATGTGAACAGTTGAAGCACATAGCAGCACACATTCCACCTCTCCAGCAGTGCTCATTTTGTCTTATTAAGATAAGGATTTGTCTAATGCATGAGGACACACCCATGCAAAAAGACCACAGTGTAGTCAGAGGTTAGTTCTCCCTATGGACAAACCCAAAAGGCATTTTAACAGAGAACAACAACTTTAGCAGTAAATAGACCTCTACTGTAAAAGCCACTACCCAGAAACTACTGGATTCCAACTCCTGCTACTTGTTAGGGGGTTGATTCCTTTGATCTGCAGTTCATTAATTTGGTTGGAACTCCCTGTACCTTGGAAGGAGGAGCTGCAGGTTTAGGAACCAGATTTTTGTAGACACTTGGGACAATAGTGGTGGCTTTGTTGCCATTTGCCAGGTGAGAAACAGGTGATGTAAATGCAGCTGAGAAGGCGGCAGAAGGATCCTCTTTTGAAACCTTTTTGATGACCAGCATCTTGGTAGGTTGCTTGGCACTAGGGGGGTTTTCTGTAAAAAAAAAAAACCAAGAGATTCTGAAATACAGATGTTCAGTTTCAGGACAGCTTCAGTGTACTGCTCCAGTTCCTCCCTCTCCATCTTAGACGCTGCACATCTGATTCTGAGCCCATCAGCTGCTCTTTCATTTAAGCTCTGAGAGAAGATACCGGATGTGGATATCTAAATACAATCTTTTCTAATTTAAACACAACAGCTCCCCTGATGCTGAAAGGAAAAACCTACAGTGACATCAGTTAACAGCCTTGCACCATTCTACAGAAATCAGAACAGGTATGAGCATTTTTTGAGCAACATGGATCAGCTTTGTTAGTTCACTAACAGAGCAAAAATATTTATGTAACTTATACCTCAGAAGACACACTACTTTTACAAACAAGCACAGTTAATGCTTCTTAGGCCAAAAAGCACATTTCGAGGAGTATAACAATTTAAAAAATACTACCAGTATAAACAGATAAAAGCCCCATAAATGTTGTCATTAGGTTTTGAGCAGAAAAATAGCTACCTGACAAACATGCAAGAAGAATACAACCGAACAGTATTGCAAGAAGTGTTTTTGAGTTTCTTTCTGCATTTGTACTATTTACAGTATCTAACCCAACTAGATAGTAACAACTCTGTGTTTAACTGCTAGAACTGGTACCTTGTTTCACTTTTTTTTTAAGGCGTAGATTCACAGAGTACATCAAGATCAAAAACAAGGCTTTTCTGAGTTTAAAAAAATCAACTGAACTCAAACCACAGAACTATGACAGCTTTGCTGTATTTCCACTGTGAAGATCCCAAGTCAGGAACTAATGTCTAGTTCACTCCAATCTGCTCTGCCCTTCAAGTGATGTCTGTGTGAAATTGTAACTGCAGCACGACAGGAAGCGAACACAACAGTGACATTACTGCCACTGGCTGTTTTTTTATGACAAGAGAAGCACAGCTTCAAATAGACAAAAAGGCCAAGAGATTAGGGAAGACTGAGGGAGGAAAACAACAAAGGACAGAAAACAGCAAACTGTCTACTTCACTTAAATCTTTAAAATATTTTGAAGTGAAAAACCCAGCATTTAGACATCGCTTACAACCTTCTGCTCCATCATCAGCATTGTGTACAGTGATCTTCACCTACCCCATACTCCAGAAGGTGTCCCTAAAGGTTTGTTCTGGTTGTTTTGTCTTCCACCTTCTGGATTCAAAGATGGCTGTAAAAAGACAATGTAAATTAATATATTGTTATCTCACATATAACAAAAAAATAATCAGTATTAACATTTTGTTTCCAGGAACCAGAGTATGGGTAGATTTCTCTGAACAGCACTTAAAGTGGAAGAGAGTGCTTTGCCACAAGACATCTAAAAGTCTGTATTTCCAGTGGAACTACCAGAGGGTTCAAGATAACTCCTCTAGTTTCTACTATAATTAAGTAGATTTCACCAACCAGTACATGTATTAAAAAATTAGGTATTTGACCAGCAGCTCAAAAAAGAACATAGAATCTATACCATCAGTATATGCAGAATCTATCCTAATTTCATATATATTTTAATACAATAATTATGCATGAGCCAATTAAAAAAAAAATCCCAAAGCAATACTAGATTCATAATATAAAGGAATATATTTACTGACAAAGAAAAGCTACATTTAAATTTGTATCAAGCCTCAGTCCACCTTTTAGGACAAGAGTGCACGCAGACTCAGTGCTCTCTGCAGACTTAAACGTCATTCAGTTTCAGAATTCAACTTGGTGGAACAACTACAGACATGTCCAAGCTCAAAGCACAGTGAAGAAAATCTAAGCATTCAAGGACAAGTGTTCCTGATTAGCTATTCCTCTTCCCCTGTCCCAAATAACCTCAGTTCAAAATACAGCCATCTTTTTCCTCTTTTTAATGAATTTCTTGTATGTCAGTTACTATGGTGACAGCACAACTCTCTAATAGTGAGCATCTGAAATAGTAGGTATTTCTGTTCTATAAGAGTAAGGAAAAAATGCCACACCATAGCATAAATTCCTGCCTCAGTCTCCAGAAACTCTTCTGTTTAAGTGCTTCAATTTTTAGCTACAGGTCAGGCAGGGGTGCTCACACTGAGAGTAACAGCCTGCTTTGCAGACCTTTCAGGAAAAGTGTTCTCAGCCACACAGGCCTAACAGTTGCACACTTAACCACAGCATACAGCAGTTTGAGCACTATGGCAAAGTCAGTACAGGAGTTACTAAACAAAGCTTGCTGCTAGCCAGCGTGTGGTATTATCATCATAAAAATGAGGGAAGTAATTAGAGAAGAAACAGCCGTGTAGCTTGGGAAGGCACTCATCAAGGCACTGAAGAAGAGAATGAAGTACATGGAAGAAAGGTTTAGACCAAGATAGGCAACAAGAGAGGCACAGTTGCAATCATTGTAGTATTTCTAGATTTTGACAGCTTCTGACAGTCAAAACACAGGTTCATAGCCTGAATTAAGTATTCTTGAGAAATAAAATAGTAAAAAGCCACATACAAGCTTTATTCCCACTCTCCAGCTGTTAACCACCCTGTGACACGGGCTCCTGCTCCAAGCAGCAGCAGCTGAACAAGAGCATGCAATCACCTCCCAGGCCCTTCACTGAAAAAACCCCAGCAGCTTAAATCAAACTGCCTCCTGTGGCAATTTAAGTGTAGGCTCTGGATTTTGGCCTGAAGCAGCTGTGGGTATTCATGTATTTCACTCTGCCTCGTAAATTCCTAATCAGAAGCCATCAAACTGCCATAACAATTTCAGCTGTGAACAGCCTTCCAGAGACAAATGCTGAATCAGACAGCAAAAACCTCATGACGATGATACACACAAGTGTGCACAGTATCACCAGGACCTCTCATTATAGGAGGCAGCACTGAAGATGAAGACAGAGGAATTGCATTAGGGGAAGGGACAGAGTTACCAGAACCTTACAGAGGATATTCTCCTCATTACACTGGTCAAGAAGAGTCTAGAGACAGCAAGAAATAGATGCAGAAAGAAAAACACATGGTCTGATTATGTAACACTCTTCAGGGGTCAGGAGAAATAGAATTAAATAGAAAAGAGAAAGCAGAAAAGGTGCACATCTCTCAAAGCATTAGCATTAAGGAAGGCATATGATAAGGATTAAAGTTGTAAGTCCAAGTACTGCTTGATAAAGTTTGAAAAATTAAAGATATTCTATTAAAAATAGAGCCAGGATGTAAGAGACTATCATACTGATAATACCACGTGAATCAAAATGCTGAATAAGAAGAAAGTTGGTGAACTGGAGATGCTGATGGAAGAAATGGCTCAAGAAACCCTGATCCACAGATTAACAGAGAGAGAGAGGAAAACAACTCTGATAATACTGCTCAAGGCAGAAGATTCAAGGCAGATGGTTGCAAAGGTCTGAGCATGTCATGAACAAGCTTGGGAAGGTTATCACAACACCAACACATATCAGAGTGAAGGAGACAGGAAGACTGAAGCAGGCAAACTGAAGATAAGCTGAACAGATATATTTCTAGGAGGAAAAAAAAAGGCTTTGTAAGCAAAGCCACAAAGTCCATACAACTACTTTTCCTCTGTCACTTTATATGGGTTTCACTGAAGACCTGGCTTGAATGTTACAATGCCTTCAGTTCCCAATAACCATTTGGCAAAACATATGAGCCAAACCCCATAATCCAACATGTCTTCAAGTCCTGAGGGCTCTGAGTACCAATCAGTATCCTATCAGTGCCAGAATAATTCTGTTAAATTTACTGTGTCTCAAACATGGAATGGAATGCAACTCGCCACCTATCAATGCTAATACAAACAAGACCTGAAAAGCCATTTCTCACACCTTCACTTCTAGTGATAAGCTACACACTTACAAAGTCTTCCTCCTCAAACTGCAAATGCTCTTTATCTTCCTTCTTCTCTTCCCTGGATTCAACAGGCAGCTTTTCTTGAAAGGCAGAACTTTTCCGAGAATGGAAGTTGCCATTCCAGTGGCGATGAACTCCAGTTCCTCCTCCTCCACGCTGGTTCACACCATCATGGCCCCGTGAGGGACCATGCCAGCCAGCCTGACTGCCAGAAAGCCCAACATGAGCTCCTTTAGAAACACCAGAATCTACAGAATCATGGCGGAGAAGGGATGGCTGATGCCAGCAGTCTAAACAAAAGGAGATATGCAAATTAAAAAATCAACACAGTATGAAGAATACTGGAAATATCAGGTTGTTGTTCTTGTTGTTCAGCTAGTGTTCACCAAGTAACTGCTGATCTGAACTTCCTAAGTATTGTGTGACTGTATTAGAAAACAAATCAAGCTACACAACGCACATACAGTTACTATGAAAATGTTTTAAGGCCTGAGCACATTGCACAGGAGAAGAGAGTAGTACAACTTCCGCATAGGATGTTTTGAAAAGGTACAGCTTGGGAAAATGTTTCTGTTCTGCTGAATTCTTCATTCTGTAGAATATTTCCAAATGTTTGCTCTCAGGCTGCATTCCGACCCTTCGTACTCACCTCCCGCAGTTCGGAGGGGCCCATTATTGAAAAATCCATCGGAAGAGTTGTGTCTCCTGCGGCTCACGCCAAAGCGGCCCTCTCCCCGTGGAAGATGCTCTCCATGTTTCTCAAAGGTGGCTGCAGGGGACTGCAGAAAGTAAAATGTCATGTAATGAAGCACTCATCTGGACTCTCCAGGAGCCTGTCAGGCCAACACTGACATTTGCCTAATTGAAAAAACCACCAACCCCCACATTCCTGTATGAGTTTTCAATACAGCATCCATAACTGCATTGATTAGCCAGCAATGTCAACGAGCCTGGATGTGATCAGAACGGTTCACAAATCCACCTGTCTCCCACAGAATCACAGAGAACCCAAGACACTGATCTTACCCATGGTCAGAGCTGTGAAAGGAGCTGATCTGTATTACTGTTACCTTGGTTGACTGTGGTGTTGAGAAGTTAAGCCAGGCAGGAACAAAGTCATGCTGCGCCATTTAGGTCCAGTGTCTCCCTTCAATAAAATGAGGCATCAAACCTCATGGCCAGGCTCTGTAAATGAAAAGAACATTCCCTGTCATCTTATCCAAACGGAAATAATACAACTATTTACCTCTCAAAGTTTGGCCTATACAAATAGGAGGGGGAAAGTGCTGAAGTTTTTTGTATTATACTTCTCCTGCTTTGTTCCTCTGACTGAAATAGGTAAGAACTTCAACATTCCCAGTTACTTCCTGTTTACAATTAATACACCCATGAGGTTGACAGCCATATGCCAGCTCCTGCACTCCTATGTTCTTTCCAACATATCACAGCAATTTCTACTGCTCAAAATGATTAACATTTCACTATTGCTTCGTATAACTGAAGTCCACCTCTTTTTGTGGAAGGTTCTCCAATTTACCATTTTGCTTTATTTTTCAACTTTAATTTATCTAGAAACACGCCAACACACTATAAGAAAAGTAGTAAATCCATCTGATCACTTACCCTGAGTTTGGCCTCTGCAGTCCAATGTCCTCAGTTTGTGTGCTTCAGTGACCTCCGGGTTCCTTCCTTCTCCAGAATTCTGGAAGGCCAGCCTTGAGGCAATAGTGCGTCTCGAAGCAGAGCACAAGAGGCCGCACTTCGTGCCAACTGTGCCCCTCACCCCCTCAGCTGCTCATTTTACCCTCTCTTTGCACTCTCACTACAAAAAAAAGATACCTAAGAAGGTAATTTATATTTCAAAAGGCCACGCCCACGTTCACCTCATTAAATTTCCTCTGGTCGTGGTAGTACAGAAATCAGCCTTTACATTACAAAAAGGTTTGTCAAGTCTGCATGACAACATTCAGGGCAACATCATGGTTAATACTGAACAGATACACTCAAGGCTGCTGGACAGTTCATGATCTGCAGCAGATCAACCTAAACCCTCTGGAAAAATGATGTTACATAAAAACGTTTGCTCTAAATGCTGAGATCTAACCAAGAAGCATCTGCCCAAGTGCTCTTAAAATATAAATTTCATTTTTATCACATACATCTGCTAAAAAAAGGTAAAATATTTTAAAAAAATGAATGTTAGGATAGATATACTCTAGTCTCCACGTAACTTGGCTAATGCTCCACAGAGCTAAGCACTACTTGATATAAAGCTCAGAAGCAGGCACAAATGTTCTCCCTGTTTTTCACCATTTACATGCTGAAACATAGGTCACATGAACAAAAAAAGCCAGGTCCAAAAATAATCTCTTCTAATCTATTTTTCGTAGACTGGGTGCTGCTTTTAAAAGGAAACAAATAATCCACAAGAGCTTCTTGTTCTACAGTGAAGAGTTCACTTCTGGGTCATAGTCCTCTTCCATCAAAGAGGTGAGACAGGAACTGTCGTCACTGTAAAAAACCAAACACAACTCCATCAATACAAGTGGCATAAACACGACAAAGTATGACTAAAGAGAAGAACTGAAAGGGAAATTGAGCAACTATAGTGCAAGTGCCAAAAGCTATTTGATCTCTGATCAAAACAAAACCTGAAATAATCTAATTTAAAAAGAGCCCTCAAAAGGGCGTTTTTACTTTTAAATGATCACTTCCCAGATTTAGTCCACAGAAGGGCAACAAAACCAATCAGAATAAAGGGAACACTGGAAAAACTGCATGCAGCTGATGAAAGCGATTCCCCACTTCATAGCAATTTTAAAACCTGCTGCTAAAACAATGAGACTCTGGGCTTCAGTAGGCCTGGCCATTCCAAATGCCTCATCTCCACATGCCCTCGTCACTCCCCACCTGTTTCAGTACAGCCAGACTCCCCTCTCAAGAGGATGACAGTAATACAAATAATATTCCATTAACTTCCCCATAGAAAATACCACCATCACCACCAAAATGTGAGTTATTCTGCTATGACCTCTTTTTCCTTGAACCATCCTACCTAACCAGAAGCAAATAGATAGTTTAGTGATCCTGAAACAGAGAAGTTTGATTACTGTTTTGATGCCATCAGCTGTTTCACAGGATGCCTTTAAATGTGCCTTGTTATGCTTTTATATTTGACTTATCAGAGTTTGTTTTCTTTGTTTGGATATGGTTCCATTCTTTGATCAGTTTTGGTTTTCATTGTGCATGTTATGTCATTCTTTACTTAAGCATGTGGATTTTTAAAAAAAGTTTTAAAGCTGATTTTGATCAAGGCTCAAAATAAACACACACTGGGGAAGAGTAAAATAATCACTACCTTATATCTTCTGGGTCACCCTTTTAATAAACCCTTTCATTTTCATTTTTTTTTTTCTTTCTGGAACTAGATGTTACCTTTATATAGAGGAGTCTGGAAAGATGGAAACACTTCTGCACCTAAGCTCTGAGCCACAACCACATTTCTGCAGACAAAGTAAAAACAAGCAGCCTCACATCACATATTAACTACCAGGCAAGATGAGGAAAAACCAGAGTGGTCATGGCCACACACAGTATTGACCTGGGAACTTTCTGAGCACCCTGCCCTGAGCTACAATCTACTGAACGTGACATATTGCAAACAACTCAAGTTCTAATTTATAAAAATGTGTTTTTATATTATTAAAGGGTAATTTTCCAGTGTGCATAACAGACATAATGGAACATCTGCTGCAGACAGAAACTTCCCATCCTGCTGAACTCTACACAGGTACAAAACTCCTTCAGCTGTGACCTTCTAAGTGTACTACCAAACGTTTGATCAGTAAGTAGAAGATAAAACAGGGACAAAGTCAAGGCAATTGACTGTATTTAAACAAGATTCATTACCTTCTGAATAAATATACTTTTCAGAATGAACTGTATAGCAATTAAGCTATGTCAAGCTATTGACAGAAGTTAAAAAATTTAAGAAGTTGATTGAATGAACTTTGAGAATGGTTCACAATAATGTGAAAAATGGACCTAAAGAAAGCGCACAGAGAACTGTTCTCTGGATTTAAGTTATCAAAATAAATGAACACCACAGACCTGCAGTTTTGAAGTAAGAATGAGGTCTGAGTACCAAATAAAAATTAAAACACCACAGAAGTACAATATCCAGGTTACATTTACCAAAAGGGTTCCCAGTACTTTTGGAAAAGGTAAGGAAAAAGCATATCAACAGTTTGTGTTGCTGCAAGTCTTCCATTTATATTTCAGCACAATCAAAACAAAGGTGAAACATTTTGTAAAACTCCAACCACCAATTTATAGATGATCTTGCAGAGATTTGGGTCTCCTGAGCTGCCATTTTGATATCACTGTTAGTATGAGTGACATGGGTAATTCCTTAAACAGTGCCTAATGTGCATGCAGGCAGTCTAGGACAATGCCTAGACCTGACTCCAAAATTCAGAAGGGACACACACACAACTCTTTAGTCATCGCCTTCCTGGGCACATCTCAGCACAAAAAGGACAACAGATGCCACATTTAAATGCAATACTTTTTGCTAAAGCAAAAACCTTGTTTGTTGAAGTGCTGTAAATTATAGTAGCACTGAAACCCTTCGGTCTCCAGAATTAGCCCACGTGCTCCCTTCTCACACACACTGTCCAACAGCACATCTTCCATAACCCACCACTCTACTGACAGCAACACAAAATCCTAACAGGCAAGACCCAGTCTCTCCATTACCCTCTCTGATGGCAATCTACAATAAATTCTTGAGAAAAAAGGGGCAAGACCAGGAACAAATAGCATCAGGACTCCCAGAATACTTTCTCAGACTTTTAAGCCAGAGTCTGTATTACAATTTAATACAGTCAGAGTTCTATGCAAATCTGTTCAGTTGCTTTGTTTTCAGACATATTTATACATTTTCGCCTCTCAAATGAGAGTGGGCACAGTTTATTTGTGCTTTATGTAGAAGTCAACTTGTAGCTATTAAAAAATGCCAGCCTCAATTCAACTGGATATTTTCTTGTGCTACCAAAGTGCCCAACCACATTCTATTCAGTTTTTCATGATACTCAGGATTTTACATGGACTCATCAAGTCATGCCTCTTCCAAACTAAGAGTATCCATGGAAGACTTCTAAATACCTCTAATCATCCTTATTAGCCTTTACCCTATACTTTAGGTACAACATCACCAAAACAGCATCAAATGTTCAAGATTTGGAGCATGGCCCATTTATACAGTGCCAAAACTCTGCATTCCTAATATCTAACAGTTATTTTTTCCCCTACTACTACACAGAACTGAAATGACCTTTGACAGCTACTCAGTTCTTCTAACACTGCATTTACAGTTTAATCGAACTGATCTCTGCTTCACTATGGAAAACACAAGGACAAAGATCATCACTAGCCACTCCCAATCCCAGAAAAAAAGCAAACAGAAGTGCTTGTCAATGCAAATGCAATTAATTATTGCTTTCCTTTTAAATGAATTAAAATGCAAATTATTTCAGATAATATGAATCAGAAAAAGAGAAAATAATAGTAATGACATTAAACGAAATATTCTCTACCGGCATACCTCCTTTCAGAACAATGAAATCTGCTTTAATGAGCTCTGGTATAGAAAAAAAAAGTTGTAAACTATCCCAAAATATTATTTCGCCCATCAAAATTATTAAGTCTTTGGCAAGTAAATTAAGTATAAAAAGAATTAAACTCTGTATTAGAACCTGGGTTTCACTTATTTTTAAAGGTTAATTAGAACTGTTAACAATTTATATTATCACTTTTTACATGTAACATTAAAAATGTCTTAACTGTTACTTCATAGCAACCTATTTTCTTAAGTTTTTGTTGTTCTGAAAGTATTTTTTCCCTTGCTAAGTGCTTAAGTTTCACAACTAAATATCCTTCACTGTATCCTTTTACATGCAAGTTGAATGGTATTTATCACTGAGTCAAACAAAATTGTCAGGTGTTCTTTTATATACCAAATTTTATAGTGTATTTGTCTAAACAAATATTAAAAACTGGCATGAAAACAGAAGAAACATACAAGCACATTCAATTTAAAGATACACAGACCACAGTAAGAAACATCTGCAGTCAGAGACAAACCCCCATTCTCCAATACCCCTTCCATGAAGTTCCTGCTGTACCACAGTTGAATGGAGTTGCCTGGTGGTTTGCAGCCTTCTACTTACTTTCATTTCTATTCCTAACACAGATTTGATCAGACTTAGTCTCTAAACTACAGTTTCTAAAGCTTTGACTCTCAAGCTGAACTTTTCTGATATACCTGGAAGTGGGAACCAAGGAGGTGTTCAATATGTAAAGACCTACATTGACCAGAACACGAGCTAAATATAATCAGAGCCACTGAGCTATGAAATTTTTCACTGGAAGCGGATCAAGATATTTCAGAAGTCCTAAGAAACAGAAAAGCCTTAGCAGCCGTGCATTTTTCCTATTACTTCCACTTCCATCTCCTGCCTTGGCCTACAAGGCTGTAAAACACAACAGGAAGCAGTCTCCCCTGAGCTCCAGATTGCCTGCTGTGCCATGACGTGCTGTTCCAGCACCTCTGGGAGTACCTGGAACTAGGGCTTCCAGCCTTTGCCCACGTTACATACTGCAGTGCACATTTCTGAAATGGACACATTTCACTGGGTGCTTTTTCTGCTTCACTGTACCCTGCAAACATCCCCAGGTCCCTTCAGCACTGCTGTCTACCAAGAATCCTGTTAACTGCAGCCTCTAATTCAGTTTCTCCTTTCCTGCAACAGCAAATCACAAAGATGTGGAGCCTCTAGCATAAAACCAGCGTAAAAGTAAACTTTTACCCTTCATTACACATTTATCAATCTAGTTAATAGCAGCTGTAAAAGGTCATAAGGACAACACCTGTATATCCCTGCCACAATTTCAGTTCACTGCATTTCTATCTATTACTCTAAATAAAACTTGTTTGCTTTAAAGAAGCAAAGATTTGTTTTTATAACCAGCCAAGCCAATGGGGATTTCAGTAATATTCCTAAAAATCAGATGTCAGCTGGGTTGCAAAAGCATTCAGAAGCATTAGTGAACAATTTAATGGACGCAGAAAGCAGAACAGAATTTACTTCCCTCATCAGTTTTCTTTCTGTGAAGCTCTTTTAAAGTTATTTAATCAAACAGATATGCCCAAACATTCAAATCAGACCACCTTCCACTTCGCTATTTTTCAGAGTAGGGTCACTGAATAGGTGTATGTTACTTTATGATAAAGAATTAATACAATATACAATCACTAAAATATCCCTTTCTAATAACCTCCAATTGACCCAATACACAGAAACAGGGAGCCACAGTCGGGGGTCCAACTTGTCAAAAGCATGCTCCTGATTTCTTTAAGGATATCAAAAAGCCTCACATGAAATTTCATTGTTCTGTTTTCCAGAAAAAAAAATCCAAACACAGCATGGCTTGGTCTTACTATCATTAACATTTTAATAAGATAGTAATATTTGGGCATACAGACTTAAAGAGCATCTAGTTACAGCCCCCCTGCCACAGGCAGAGACATCTTCCACTTGACCAGGTTGCTCACTTCCAGTATGGGGCTTCCACAATTTCTCTGGGCCAGTGAATTCCATTAATGACATAATTACAAATCCTGCTTCAATCCCGCATGCATTATTAGGCCTCACGGTAAAAGACACAAATGCAGCACAACTCCTTCAACAGTTGTCATAACAACTGGTGAGCCACATCTTCACAAGTTGAGATCATTCATCTCCCGTTCACCTACAAAACAAACTTACTTTCCCTCTGCTTTCACTTCCATTAATACAATTGTCTAGACACACCTTCACCCTGCCTGCACAACTGAAAACCAGCTCCCTTTGGAGAGGACAAATGCAGATGTTCAGGAATGGCACGAGCTCAAACACCTGAGGTATCAGGAACCAGAAGAACTATATCTCAGATATGCTGTTACTACTTATTTTTTTCCATTATATCACACAGCCAGCCCTCCAAAATGGCTGCACAAACGTAATGGAAAGCCCTATTAATTAAAATACTGCAAAAAACATTGTTTAAATGGTATCTGGCTGCTGAAAAAAAATCTACTATCTAAAAATGCAGAGCATCACTCATAACAGGTTTTCTAGAATTACAGAAATATGATCTCATTTTAGAACACTAAATGATGGATTAAAATGTTAATCATGTACTAAACTGAAATCTTCCCAGATACAGATATTAAATGTTTTAGTGAAAAGCAGCTATTACTGAGAGATAACACCTTGTTTTTCAAGCTAAAAGCACATGAATCTATCCTGCAGAGTCATCAAAACTGTTTTGTATTCCAGACAGAACACTGCTATAGAAACCTATTCCAAGATGAAAACATGCCAGAAGCTTGGCCATACAGAAGTTCTTCCAGAGTAACAGGCTAGGGGAAAATCATACCAATGGTTACATACCTGGCCATTTATGCAAATCAGATGACAAGCTTAAATGAACTAAAAATAAGTTTAAATAGGTTAAGAAAGGTCCATACAGACACATCTGTGTCCTAACCCCCTTTTCTCTACTGACAGTCCTTCCACTGATATCTCACACAGCTCTGCTTCACAAACAACCTGTCCCTTCACATGCTTACTTTCCACTTCTCCAAGGTCATGCTGACCCAGTCTTACCTCCTTCAAAACTCCTGGACAAACACATACCCCCACAAAACCACACACTGAGCAAAGCCTTGGCAGTTTGGTCTCATGAATACATACTGAGATCTACAGTGAAGGGGGCAAGGAGATGATTTTTTTCCTTTGTGACAGCAATTAAACATACAACGGCATATAAGAGTAACAATCAAGTAACGGAGAAAAGTGACTTGTAGGACTGTAGGAAAGATTCTTCATCAAACAAGAAAACACCACTGACAAAAACAGCACCTTTAGAAATACTATTGATTGAATACCTGCCCTTCAAGCTCCTGTTGATCTAAGTTTCTGCCAGTAAGGTTACCACACAAAAGCCAGCAAACTTGTCTTTAGAAGCAAGTTGTACTTAACTCAAAAGCCCAAAGCACATTTTGGAAAAGGCAGTATCTGGGGAACCTGTACAGAAGCCTGTGTAAGATGATAAGTCTCTGGACCTCAGCCAGCAAGTGTGATACATCAAAAATGAACCCTTCCACAGGGTTTTCAGGAGTTTACTCCTCAAAGCAGTAAGAATACCAAGATAAAGCCATTTAAAACATGCAAAATCAAAAAGGCTCAACTTCTCATAAGCACAAAATAGGAGAGCACAGACTTTCTAGATATTATGCCTACCACAAATTATTCCTGGGTGTTTCATACAGTGCAGCCACTGGCAATGCTGTCATCCCTTATGCCTCTCTCCTGTGCCTGTTAAGATTCCACTTCCCTCCAATGCCCCTTTAACTGTCTTTACTACTGTTTATGTTGGAGAACTGTTTATGTTAGTATTTACCTGAAATATTAAAACCTGTTTACTGCTGCAGGGAGTAGGGTTTCAGGGATTGTACACCTCTCTCAAACAAGTGCATCTATTGACACCACTGATACAAACCAAAGAAACATATTTTAAATAGTATTAGGCTTTAAATGTGAACAATGCTCTGAACTTTCAAACAGCTTTAGCATTATATTAAATAAGGTATTTTAAATCTGGAGAAGGTATTCTACTATTTTAATCAAATCCAAAGGTCTTTTTAGCTCTTTAAGGAACAAAATCAAACATCCATTTTGTACTGCACTTTGATCTACAGACCTTTTGCAAGTAAGTCAAGATAAGGCTCTGTTCTGCCCAGCTTACACACCAGCACAGCACCTTGTCACAGATGCCTTTAAGGTACCACTCTCATCCCCAAACTCTCATGACAGAATGAGCGAAAGGGCAGTGAAGAGCCCATCTGTGCAATCTGCCCAAAGCCTTAAGGAACAGTCACTTCTACTGCACAGCAGCACACACCAGGATAATGTTCTCCATCATCAGGAAAGAATTGCAAATATGTAATTACTAGCTTATCCCCACTGTATGCTACATACCTCCTGCCTACCTGTCTTCCAGAAATGTGGATGGAGCCCAAGCAAAAGTTAAGTAAGTAGTTCTTCAGTACCTTGAGAAGAAATAAAGTGATGGGTATTTCCCATGAAGGGTATTTCATAAATCAGTATTCTGCCAGGGTTATTATTGCTACTATAGCACATTTACATTTAAATATATTCTGTTTGGAGTGGAGAAAAACACATTTCCTTTGGAAAACAGCCTCAAATGCAACCAGACTATTTATGAAATATTTGTGTCAAGGCAAGAAAGACTACAAATCAAGCAGAGGGAAGTTCAGATCTGCATTCCAGATGAAGGATAAGCAAGTAGAAGGCATGTCATTTGCAAAGAGGAAGGAGAATTGAAAGTCAACAAAACAGAGGACATTTAGAACTAAGAAACCATTCTCCTAACCAGTACTGGAGTAATTCTTCCTCTTGATACCATTGCCTGGGTCCTACAAGACCAGTACTACAAACTGGGAAAGGAGGTGCATTCCAGTTATAGGTACGTCCCCTAAAGACAAACTGCCAAGACTGAGGGACAGCTCATACCTCTGCCTCGCCCTGCATCTGGATTATTTCCAAACCCTTTCACATCAAGACCAGGACAATATGATCAAACTCCACATTTATTTGTCCGTAACTAGGACATGACAAAGACATGTTCACTCAGCACTTTTCAGCATATGTACAACACCTGCATTACAGTTTGTAAAGTTTACATTGTCTGCAATGGTTTTCGTTTCACTGGTTTAACATTTTCAGCACTTTCTCTGATTGAGAAAGTATTAAAAAACAACAATGCAGAAAAGTCACTGAATATAATTAAATTTAAAACAACTCTTACACATATAAAATAAATTGCAAAAATAATATATATTCCAGTAGTTTGGTCTTGGCTTACAAAAAAAAAGGGAAAAAGTGATTTCTAGTCCTGTGATCTAATGATTTGCTGCAGCTGGGACATATATCCTCTTTGCATGTTCACAGTGTTTTCCTGCAGTTCTCTTTATGATCTAGTCCATGAAATTGAGTTAAAATAAAGCAAGGAGTTTTGGACAAAATGTTGTCCAGCTGGTTTGGGCTTTGTCTTTAGATCTTGAAGAGAATTATTGTGCTGTTCTTCTCCAGGTAATCTGTGCAGGCCAAGACTAAAACACTGTCATTCTTCTATCCTAGTGTCCTACAATAAATTACAAAATACAAGCAAAACATCTGTGTGGGGAAAAAAAAAAATCTTCATACATTGCATAGTTAAGCACCTTCTCCAGAGATTTAAAAGATTTTAACTCTACCCTCTTCCATCAGATGTCTTTAAAAGTCAACTAAGCAAGGTTCCCCCCTTCAGCAATTTGTACAGTGATCTTCAGCCTGCAGAGGTCCAGAAATTAATCCTAAAATGTCTCATAAAGTATCAGGAAAATGAACTTGTTATCAGCAGACTGGAATTCCATTATGCAGCTATACATATGTCCATTGGAATATTTTTTGGGAAGCTGTAAATGAAACCAGATTAGCATGCCAGCATTCTCCAGTGTATCCCTATAATCTGTTTTGGTTATTTGTATGGCTTGAAAGCCTGTCCCTGCATCTAATGCCTCATGTGAACACATTCTGCTGCAATTTCAACTCATAACTGCTTGTTCTATTGATGATGGATGTGGAAACCTGACTAAACTTTCCTTGCAGATACCTTTCAAGAAATATTTTCTTCAGACCAAAACTTTAGTATTCCCTGGCTGAAACGCAACTTTAGCAGGTGTTGTTTTTTTTTTTTTTTTCTGGAGAAATCCCACAGACCACCCTGTATCCCAGCACTGTTTGGCAGCAGAAAAAGATCTACTACCACAGTCTGGGATCAAATATAGCCATGCTTTAAAAAAAACAAAAACAACCAAACAACCCACTCTCAACCAGTCAAATTTTACTGACAAAGATCAAGCCTTCAAGTTCAAAGCATCAATGATGAAAAAACTGACGTGACCCACCTACCAAGTGTGACAGCTCGCAGGCTCGATGTCAGAGCTGCCTCCCAGTTATACCTGCAGGTAACTTTTTAAAGCTGCTTTATGTATCATCTGCTTATGTCTGATGAAACATGATGTATAAAAACATTGTAGAGCCAATCAATCAATTTTTTCCCAATCCTTACTTATGGTTTCTCTCTTTCACAGACTTTGTTATTTGCTTTACAGATCTTGTTACACAGCCATAACTTTCCCGAGTATCACATTATCCCAAACTGAACAAGATAGTTCCTGCAGAAGACCTACCACTCCTCAGCAGAATGGAGAAACTGCTTCATTGCCTTATTTAAAATGCTTCTATATGTTCCAGTATGACAAGTGAATTTTCGTGACAGTGATGCTGCTGACTCATGATAATTTAGGAACCATTACAACCCCCAGGATACTCCCCCACAGAACTGCTGCCCTGCCAGCTGCTACTTGTCTGTGTAGGCAATATACCAAAACACAGTAATTTGAACCCATCTACACCAAAATGGCTGAATCCAAAGCTATTGTTTTCAGACCATTTATTGAATTTGTCAGGATCACATTATCTGTGTGTTCACTAAGAACATTACTGCAGTACAGGGAAGTGAAACCACCAAAAAGTACGTGATGCAGGACAGACTCCCTGATGTGAACAGTCTTCCCTGGGACATACCCAAGTCTTGCCTTTTTTCTATATGTTAGGAGGGAAAATGCTCCTCAACTCTCCAGCATTCTGGAATTTTTCCCACCCCCACAACCTCTCAGCTCCCTAAATACTAGAGGATACATTCCAGAAGGCCCAGTCAACCTGAAGACACTGAAGTTATCATTAACCCATTTCTCTAATTTTAACTGGAGTTCAAAGTAGAGGAAAGAGTTTTCCCAAACTAACAGCCATTCAGTATTTTCAGGATGAGAGATCCTCGCTGAGTTTCTTTAAGATTAACATCAAAGGTCTTTTTAGATCATCTCACGTGAGTCCTGATTAATCCCTTGATGATGGATGACACATTGTAACACAATGGCAAAACACTCCTCTCTGCTGAAAGGCTGGAGACCTGTTGTAATCTTAACCATACACCTTCACCAGCAACTTCGTGAATACCAATAATTTATGTGCCCAGAATATTACCATATACCTCCCTGGCAGAGTTAGTCCTTTATTTACAAGTTAATTGTTCATCATAAACTGAAGATCAAAAAATTCCAAGAGAGTGTCACTCATTGCCACATACTCTGTACGTTGCAACTACGCTATGGGGAGGGGGTCACACAGATATCCAGAACCTAGAAGAGACAGCAAAAATAAAACTTGAATTAAAATTTCTAATTCCTTCTTGTACTGAAAAAAGGGGATTCTTAAAACCAGGGACATTTAGACAACATTTTACACATACTTTCTTATCAAGAGCCACTAACATCACACCACAGAGCTGTGATCCTCACTCCAGTGTGGAGGATGCAAAACACTGAACTGGAAATGATCACAAGACTCAAGGAGAAAACAAATCAACACTGGCATTTTTGCTAGAATGTCTGTAAGTCCTAGAACTTCAGTTGCTCCTGGCGAACTCCCTAATGTACAACAGTCCCTGAGGCACAAGGTCACATGCTGCAAAATATTTCTTTCTGAGCATCACTTATTGCAGAAAACCTCAGTTATGTTTGGCTGCACTGGTTCAAAGCATTTTTGTTAAGCCAGACCTTGGAAGTGCAACTATTTCAGATTAGTCATATTATAGAACTGCATACACCAACACTTTGCAAAACTGTTTCCTGTTTAATTATAGAAAGGTCTAAGTAGCATAAAGTGTGAAAATTCTTCTCCTGACTTTTGAAGACCAGCTAGTGAAGGAGTTGCGCACTTTAATCAAGAATTTCCAGTTTGGAGTGATACAGCCTGATCACTAATCTGCATGATCAATTAAGCCAAAATGCTTCCCTCCCTGCTTACTGTCACTCTCACAGCCCTGTCTAACCTAGAACTTTTAGGTCTGCACAGTGTTTTCACATACATGTATAGGGTAGTGGACACAGCCACTATCAATCTCTACCTATATCCACTCTCAAAACCATAAATTTATCTTCTGACCATACAGTAACTCATTGGTACATTTTCATAAGAACATACAAAGTTACAGCACACAAGTTAAACAACATCCTGGCTTTCATGAAGTATTCTGACCAGGACCACGTTTCTGCCAACTTCACTGCTTTTCATCAAATCTGACAAGCAAAGAGAACATGGACTTCAATTCCTCTTGCTGAAACAAAAGCCACACATGATTTAGTCGGCATCCTGGTCACTATGTAAGTGACAGTAAAATGTCTACTTACATTGCTGAGCTCGCAGAACCAAAACTAAACCACTCCTGCCTCTACAAATAAATTAACATACAACTTTAACATTCCAGACAAACATCCCGGTCCACACACTATCTTATCAACTGAAAATCCAGTAAGTATGACCTGTCCCTGGATAAGTTAGAGCAACAGTCACTCCCTGGTTTCTATGGAGCTGTAAGGAAAAGCTGTGTCCATGCAAGCACAGCCAGCACTCCACAGGAGAGAGGTGCTTTCAAGCTTCAGCTCTACCGAACAGAGTCAGCCCTTTTCCAAATCTCTTCGTACAGACAAACAAACAAAGCACACCCTGGAGTATACTTCACAGCTAAGTCAATTCAGCAGTTACACAACTAACTTCAAACAACTTGTAACACTGGGAAAAAAAAAAGGTAACTTTAACTCCTGAGCCAATAGTTTTTCTTCACTTTATAAAGGCAAGAACTACATTATCTGACACCTCACACTCCTGAAGAAATTCAAAGATCTAACCACAGCACTTTTCTGTAGTAAAATAAGGACCTTACAACTCCTGAAACACTGTTTCCATTTAATGAAAATACTAGTGAATATTATTTTTCCTGTAGTCACTTATTTTCCTAATTTAAAACAGGAATGTCAAGATGCAGTAACACCATGCAGCAGTCACATATGTGAGACAAAGTGACCATACCCTGTAAATATTCTTAAAGTAAAGATTTTTCCCTAACATTCGGAAAGTATGTGCTTCCATTTGATTTGTTGTATTTCACATCTGCCTTCTGCTCCTCATATTTCTGAGACACTGCAGAAAAAACAGGATTTGCGTTTTTTGAAAATGCCATCTGTTCCCTGCATATTTTCACTTTAGGTCCTCGTATGATATCTGCAATGGAAACTTCTGTGTCATATAAGATTAAGGCTATAAACCAGATGAATATAAAATGCAGAGGGCTGCTGCACTTCCCTACAAATAGCTGTAAAAAAAACCCCAACACCATAAGGAAGTATCACCTGAAGCCTTTCTATTCTAAATACAAAACTTTTACTAAGTTCTTCTTAAAGGGACTTTCCTCCAGAAATGATGTCAAAGAGTGAGAGAGGAAAATCTGCTCCTCTTAAATTAGGAATTTTATTTGTTCTTACCACTGCTCTACACCTGTTTCCTTCCCGAGTCAGAAAGTGGAAGTTTGAAATACCGGTCTCCAAATGGATAAGCATGGGGAACCTTTCACTGAAATACCAGCCATATTCATTCATGAAGTAACATTTGCATAAGCTTTTTTCATAACCACCTAACATTTTTATAGAAGCAATGTCAACTCTACAGTAAACTCAGCTTTGATGGCGCTCCAATTATCTCAGCTGTTATCTCCATTCCCCCTCTTTGCTATTTCCACACTTTGCTCAGGCACTTGCAACGCTTCAGAGTATTATCAACATTACTAACACTTGTGTCACTCACAGTTCGGGGGCGGGGAAAGGCAGTCTGACCTACCTGGTCATGTTAGTATAAAAAGATCTTTAAGCAACACTCTTAAAACATTCCACCATTGCTTTTAAGAATTTAAATAGCTACTGTTCCTCTAAAGCTGTTTAAAAACTCGTAACTTGTGCAGACACCCACTGACTGCTCTAAAATTGTTCCAAAACAGCTCGTTACTAAACTGAACTGAATTTAAAGTCTTGAACAGATATTTGAAACGCTAGGCGCGTTCTGATCAAGTCCAGCCCCAGCCCTTCAAGTTAAACCACACAAGACCTTAGGCCAAGGGGGCATAAAACACACCGGACACGCGGAAATAACTTTCACGCCGGAAAGAGCCGCCTCACGCTCGGGCTAGGCGCTGTTTCCCTACGAGCAGACACCGAGCAGCACCTGACAAGTTTCCCAGCCTCGCTGGCAGCGGGCAGAGCGAGCCGAGCCCCGGCTGCCCGCAGCACACGTGTCACTGACGGGCGCCGACCGCCCCTTCCCGCCGGGGGCAGCCGGGAAGCGCGGCCCGGGAAGAGCCGAAGGGAAACGGCCGGGCCGCCCGGTTTCGTTTCCAGCCTACAGCGGGGTCGTCCCTGCCCGACCCCCGGGACTCATCCGCCACCCCGGCCCGCCCCTCCCGCCCCGCTCACGGACGGCCCCATGACAGGAGCTCAGCTCCAGCAGTGTCAGCGCTACGAACTTCCCGGCTGAACAGGAAACAATAAACCGCAGAGCCCCGGCCCCCGCCGCCCACCCCGGCCCGGCCCTGCCCGTGGGGACCTCGCGCTGCCCCCCCATGGAGCCGCCGCGGCCGCGGGACCGAGCGCCGGGGGGAGGGGGGCCCGGCCTGGCGGGAGGCCGCTCCCGGGCCGCACCGAGCCCGCGGTGCCGCGGGGAGCGGCGGGGCGGGCCTGGGGGCAGCAGGGGCCGGGTGAAGGCGCGGGGGGCGCGGGGGGCGCGGCGGGGGCGGCGCGGGGGCCGCACTCACCGGGCGGGCCCTGGCGCGGCTCCGGCGGCCCCACAACCATAACAAAGCTCTGCCCAAAATGGCCGCCCAGCCCTGCCCGGCCGGGGGCCGGAGGGGGCGGGGCCCGCGCGCGCGGGGGGCGGGGCCGGGCCGAGCACGCGGAAGGGACACGCCCCCCGGCTCCCCTTCCCTACCCCCGCCCCGGCCCCTGCGCCTCCCGCCCCACCAATCAGAGGCCATGGCTTGCACCACCCCCTTCGCCGCCTGTCGGAAGCAGCTGCAGACTACGCGTCCCAGAAGAATACCCGCTATCTCCGCCGTGCAGATAGGCGGCCGGCGCGCCGCAGGGCGGGATGGGATTTGTAGTCCAGCTGTGAAAGGATTTCCCGATGCCGTGATGCCGGAAGACAGAAAACAGGAACGGCCGCACTGCTCCCTAGGAGAGGTTCTGTCCCATGGGCAGGAGAGGAGCGTGTCGCTCCTCTGCCAGACCGACCGCGGCTCTCGGGCTGAAAGTGACCGGTGCTGCTGTCCCCAGTATCGTCTCGGTAGGGCCTTCCCCAGCCCAGTGGATCACGATGGGCAGCGCCGATTCCTGCCCGGACCGGTAACGCTAAGCACCGGGCGCCGTCGGAGCGCTTATGGTGGCACCGGAAGCCGCCACAGAGGGCGGGCCCGGTCCGGTGGTAGCGCCCAGTGAGTCCTGCCCGGTCCCCGGGGCAGAGCGGCCCCTCCTCTCTGGAATATATATATATTCTCTGCTCCCTTCGTCCTCCGTCAGGGGAGTTTGGCTGTGCGGACCCGCCTTTCTCTCCCGGCGCAGCAGGACCGGGAACTGCGGAGTCAAATCCAGGGCGAGCTGCCTACCTTCCCCCGGTGAGTGTCGTATCCCGGCAGGGAAACTTACCTACACCTCGGGTGGGATGGCTTTTCCACTCCATTTTTATTCGTGATCTCCTTTTCCGCGTGTGAGGAATTGCTCCTTTATAAGCTTTGTGCAGCCATTTATCCCTTGAAGAGAAGATGGTCCATGAACGGGAAGCCATGACCTGTTCCCTGATACTCAGTTCTTTAACTAGAAATTATTGTTGCAACAGTTAATACAGCTTTAGAATCAGTTCATAAAGCTGCTTGAAACTATTCTGCAGTGGGCAAGTACTGATCGAATACATATGTAATATATATATATACATACATCTCTTTAAATATACACCTGTAAGACTCCTGTATTTGATAAGTGTAGATTGTGACTGAACTTAGAGCATCAGACCAACTCAGTGATTCATCGGTTTCAGACCTCCTCCTGATTTTTTCTATTTTAGAGCCTTGACAAAATAAATATGTTTCCTCTCATACAACGATGCTGCTTCAACACACCTTTCAAAGTAAGTTAATGAAGACTTTTTTGCTGATTTTATTTAAAAGTAAAATAGAAAACGATAGGACTGCAGCTTTGAAAAAAAGGTGGCTTTCAAGTTGGAGTTTATCACTCAGCTTTTCTGGAATAGTTCATCGTTTCTACAGCACTTTTAGGGAAAGCTGTTTCTTTTATAAAATAAAATTTTATTGTCGCAAAGTCTTTTTTCCTATCACTTCTTGCTGGAGTAGTGAGGGGACAGTAGCTGGTTTGTGGGGTGGCCTTATCCTGCTTCTCTATGAAACTGTTTTATATGTTACTCTGAAAAGAACTGATATACCTTAAAAGTGCCTAGAGAATGCATGTGTGTGGGGAGGGATAGGTGGGCACCGAGTAAGCTTTGCTTGTGCACTCTGGAGAACCCAGTTACTCTTTATCAGCTGCATTGGGTCCCGTCATAAGTTCAGTTAAAACCACTTGAAATTCAAAAGCAAGGACAGCTGTGGTGTGACCTGATCTGGAAAATCACTTGGTACAATATTCAGTAGATAGTTTAGGTACCTGCAGATCTGTAAGCCTACACTGTGCAGTGTTCAGAACAAGTTTTGTGCTTGCAGCTGCAGAAGTTAACTGGTCCCAGTCTGCTGCTCTACGGGAAGCATAAGACAACTTGGTCGTCCTTGGCCCTCCGGCTGCGGAGAGATGGGTGTCCTCTCTCAACATCTCTGAGCCTCAAACCAGCATCAGTTTACACAACCAAGCTCCAGGCTTTTCACACCTCTCTCCCTGTCTTCAAGAAGAAAACCCCAGCAGAATCTGAGGCAGAATCACATAAAAGCTTGGAATCACTGAAGGATTGTCCCAAGCCAGTCCTTTACTTAAGCCTTGGGGGGCTAATTCCATTTGTGGCCATGCCGCTGGCCATGGCCGTGCAGGGGACCTACTGCCCTCAGCTGGCCTTTGCTCAGGTTGCCTACGGTGCTGCAACAGCATCATTCCTAGGGGGAATGAGGTGGGGGTTTGCTCTCCCAGAAAACAGCCCAGCCAAGCCAGACTGGCTGAATCTGGCTAATGGCACAGTTCCTCCTCTGCTTGCCTGCCAAGCCTTGCTTTTCAAAGATGTCACTCAGGGAGCAGTAATGCTCATGCTGGCCTTAGGGATAGCACTGCATTGTGACATTTCCCTTCTTCCTACTTACCCCATGTGGTTTAAAGTACTGAGAGTAGTGGGAACAATGGTAATGATATTATCCCTGTTGGCCACTGTAGCACTGAAAGCTTTCTTAGAAGGGGAGCAAAGTGATGACAGAAAAATATGACAGAACACAAATTAATAAATCATTAAAGAAAAGCTATTATCTGCCAGTAAGGTATTTGTATGGAGTTCCAAGAGAAATAAAGACTGATTTGTGCTTAGAAGTTGTATGATGGCAGGGATCAAGATGGTTGTTCTTGAAGCAAAATGATATTCCAACTGATTTTGAAGCTAGTTCAGGAGGGAAGGATTGTAAATAGCAATTACTTCCAAGGCAAGCTTGAGTCTGTCCTTTTCTGTATGACAAAGAATCACTCCTGAAAGAGATGTTGCTGCTCTAGGAATCTAGAATGCAGATTCAAGATTACATGGGTATGAATTGCACTGTGCTGAACTATGAAAGCATCTAGTTTGACTGTAATATGTGATCATGTTTTGAGGTGGGGAAAACAACGGTTACAAGGTGAAAGCAGTTCTAGTTTGGTGTTTAAAGAAGTAGCAGAGAATTAAGGAAAAGCACATTCTACTCAATTGCTGCATTATAGAACAAGACTGATTTCACTCCTATTTTCAGAGAAGGTGCTGAAAATCACAGAATGGTTTAGGTTGGAAGGGGCCTTAAAGATCATCTTGTTCCAATCTCCTGCTGTATACAGGGACACCTTCCACTAGATCAGGCTGCTCAAAGCCCCATCCAGCCTGGACACTTCCAGGGATGCTGTGTGAGGAAATGCTCAGTGCAGTGTCAGGTAAGGAAGGGCGGGTGAGGTTTGTTTGCAGTGGCAAGCCAAGGTCAGCACTCACCTGAAATGTGTCATTCATATGCTGTGCTGGCATGGGGAAAGCTGAATGGGGAGCTTTGTATCGCTGACAAGGTACCACAGGAGACTGAAAGTCAAATTCTTGCAAAGGCTTACTGAAATAAAAAGGCTATTTGGGCCACCTGTTCCTAGGTTTTGTTTGGATTTAGGGCTGCCCAGCAAAGGAAGTTGCATGTGACACAGCCATAAAGATCTGCCATCCTCCTAAATTAAAGGACTGTTAATTTATGCTATGACACAAGGACTCAAGTGCTGGCACTAAGGGATCAGATAATGGGACTGAAAGTAGCTTCTGTCTTCCTTCTCCGTAGAATCCATATATTTGGACAGGTACTAATGGACTTGTAGCCTGCAAACCCTCCATGATGGATCCATTACTGAAACCACTGCAGAAGCATATGCTCTCTGTCTTAATTCTTCCTAGCACATCATTTAGTGGAACAGTGGAAGATACAACCTAAGTCACATTGATTTTCTTTTTTGCGTCCGCTACCTCAAGAAACCTATGAAATGGGATGTGGGCATATTGCTTGTAAGTATTATCAGAAGTATTTAAGTACATTGTACGATGCAGGAAGAAAGCTGAAAATGACATCTACACGTGGTCTGAGGACCAGATAATCCTCATAGTTCTGTTAAAACACTATTTTTCATTGTTTTTCTATACCAAATAAAGCATGTATTGTCCCTTAAAACTTGATACCTGTTCATTCTGCAAAGAACAGATGTTTTAAGAAACCTGCCAGTCCTGGAGATGGAACCATCTTGTATGATGTTGTTGAAACAGCAGCTCTGTACATAAGCCTCTCTCTTTTGCAATCTGTTAACGTTTGTATGTTAAACAACATATGAAGCAATAATGGGTATCAATTGCTCTATGCTGAACTATGAAAGCACCCTATTAAACAATATATTTCAGAGCTTTCTGAATATAAAGGAAATAAAATTGAGTTTGTGAAGGAAAATAGTTTTTCTATTCCTTGTTACTTAGACATGGCATCTTTTAATATGGGTCCAGAGAAGAGTCCTGTCTTTGTCTTGATTGGGTTAAAGAGGTGTTGAGGGTCAGAGACCATAATCAACCAGCTTCGAAGTTTCATTCAAACATGACAGAATCAGTTACAAAACCTGGAGAAGGTAACTTCAGACAACTGCAGACTCCCTCAAGCTCCATTTAAACCAGGAAGTTTACAGGTAAGGATGAGAAGTAAACCTGTCGTTCACAAACTAATAAAATACAGCTAAGGTAGTGTTTCTCAAATGGTTCCAAAAAGGATCCTGAAAAATTAAGAAGAAAGACTAAGAAATATTTATTACCTCTAATTTTGTCCCACAGAGGGCTGAATAGAGCTGGCAAGACAGTCAGACTCTCAAGAAATCTGAGTGATTTTACACTGAGAAGAGAAATAGATGAGTATTTTACTGCAGAAGCATGTTACTTCCACCACTCAAACAGTCACAATTTATAACCAATCTTTCCCTGGTGTTCTACTGGGAAATATGATTTCCAATAAAAAGAAAAAATTACCTATTATATGAAAGTGGCAGTAATATAGCTTACTAAGTTATGAAAGCAAACTATTCAAGAGCATTCCAGTCAGTTCTGAAAATTCATTTTATTATGAAAAACAGTTTAAACAAGCTTATAATTGAAAAAAATCATTAATTCAGACACATAAATTCTTTGAAGTAAAAGCACACACAAGATTATGGAATAATCACAGAAACTCTTAATCACCTAGCATGTTTTAGCCCAACCCTATGTTAGATTTTAGTACCTAGATTATTAAGGTACCTGTAACAAACACCTTGGAGGATTTATTCATGTATTAATTTGTTAATTTCACACACGGGATATTGACCTAAACAGCTCCTTTGTCTACACAGTGCCAGGCTTCCTGTTTTGTGACATTCCAGTTGTGGTTTTGTGTTCCAGAATAACACTGTCTATCAAAATTCAAACAGCCTCACTTCAGACTCCATCCAAATCATCCACAGCTGTGCTGAAAATGCAGCCACAGTGTGCAAAAAGCAACTTCAAATACGTTAAATAAATGAATCTAGAAATAACTCCAAACTCTTTGTAGTATTGTATTACTAAATGTATCCAAGCTAAATACAAACTCCTTAAGAGCACGCTGATATCATCACTTTAATGCTAAATGCAGCTAATTCTGTCATAAAAAGCTCCATTGGCTCAAATTTGCATGAGGCAGGATACAAGATGTAGTGAAAGTGGAGTGTGCCTTGTAAAACAGCAAGTATTCAGTGCCAAGTCTCAACACGTGTCACACAGGGTAAAAACACATTTGATTCTGGAGAAAAAAAATATGGGGACAAAAGCCTTTCCCTGTGTTTTAATACTAAGAGCAGTCCTAAACAGAACAGTCAATCTAATGAATAGCATTTGCATTTAAAATTCACCAGAACTTACACAAAAAAGAGCTCTACTGGCATCACTGACACCACTGAGAAGAAAAACCAGCACTGAAGGGGAACAGCATTATTAGAACTGTGAGGACAGCCTTCCAGAACAGGAAATTCTCATCCACTCACCATTCAAATTTGTGGAGTGGCCAGATAGTAAAGATCCAATTCATATTTAATGCCCACCAGGTCCAGCAACAGAGAAGAGGCTTAAATGCATCAAGGTCATAAATAGAGGCACCAAGTCTTCCCTGTCTGTTCTCTTCCTTGTTTTCTGCCAGAAAAACAACTAATGACATCCAAATCATCCATCTGATCTTACCTACAGGTAACTCCTTGCTGTTGACAGTAACCCATTTCCAGATTGCAAGTTTAGCTAAAGTGCCAGCTCAGTAACAACCTAATTAATGTCTCTAACCCATTGGAATTATTTCTTCAGATTTTTACAGGGCAAATTCACCTTTTATTTCAGTGAGCTTAATCCAGTTATAAGAGGCATTTCTACTCTTAACAGAATACTTCCTGAGACAGACACTGGATAAGCCAATTTACTTTGAAGGGCTTTTCCTTTTGCTCAGGAAAATCCCTCTGATCTAATTCTCCATTGAAGCTCCTGTGTTAAAAGAGGTTTCTGGCCAATGAAACAGGAAATCTGAGGAGACATAATTTACTCATTCCTTGAATGAACTTTCTTCTTTGTGTTTTACAGCACAGCTACCCCTCCTTCGCAGCGGCTGGTGATCATGTTGGCAATTTCAGTCCAGCTGTCCATGTGAGGGTTATAAACTTCAACAGAATCAGAGGTTACTGGAGCAGCAAAATCAGGACTGGGAGCTCGGCCTCCTGAGGCATAGAGAAGTCCATTCACAGCCACAACACACACACCAGCTCTTGGGATCTTCATCGATGCAACTTCAACCCACTTTTCCTAACAAAACGGTGAAAGATCAAGAAATAGCTTTAGGGCATACTCTGATTCTGATACAGTAATTTTTAAAGACTGAAACATATACAAAGAACACTATGTATACCCTTCATAGGCTTACATGTGGTATGTGTACAGTATCTAGAGGATTATCAAGGCAGAAATGACAACACTCTCACAAGGGGTCCAAACTGTGTTAATCTCTAAAGAGCAGATCCTGTACTGTCTGCAAACAACACCTTCAGTCACTGCAAGATGCAGTCAGTCTCTAAAATAGAGCATGGTACAGTTTGAGGTGGGGGAAACAGGAAAACTAGATTCAATTTGAAAAGCAAAACAGATGGCACATGAGATTATGTTCTGCTTTTAGGAGTAGCTACTCTTCCAAACAGCATCATAAAAACATAAGCAATAACCGTCTGGAGAAATTTTTTATCTTCTAGTCATGCTGAAACACCACTACATTTTGATGCAGTAGAAGATCCTCAAATTTTGCAATAAAAGGTAACTCTTATTTTTACAATGAGTTTTTTTCTCTCTATTCAGATTATTGAGCTTTCTATTGCAGATGGGGAATCTATCCTCTCATCTTAACCCTAAGAAGTATTTACCAAACTACAGTACATCTGTGCATAGTTAAACCACGACAAGTACTTAGGACAGACCCTGAGAACACCAAAGCTTTGTTTCACTCAAGATAACCAGCCAGCAGTGAAAAGAAATGGAATTTCCAGCTTTTTCTTTTTAAAGAAAGGAAGCGGGATACCTCTATAGCATCTTACACAAAGCAGATGCAATCTGCATTAATGAAAAGAAGGAACTCTGCCATACCTCTTCAAATGAGTATCTTTCTACACTAGCAAGTGCATCCTGGGATTCATTCCAGCCTCCCACAGCATAGATACAATCGTTGAGAGCAGCTACACCAAGATAGGCTCTTCGGGTGCCCATTGGAGCAAGCTCAGACCAACGTTTAGAGATGGGGTCGTAG